CAGCAATATTTTCACCGATATGTCTCTTAGAGCAAAGGACATAAAGGAAAGAATAAACTAATGGAACTCATCAAATTAAAAAGCTTTTGCATGGCCAAAGAAAACAGCATTAAAATGAAAAGAGAACCAACTATATGGAAATACATATTTGCCAACGACACCTCAGATGATGGTTTGATCTCCAAAATATATAAAGAACTCTCACGACTCCACTCCAGGAAGACAAAAAAAAAATTAAAAGCCATGGGCAAAAGCCTTGAACAAACCCATCTCCAAGGAGAACATACAGAGGGCCCAGAGACATATGATAAGATGCTTAGCATCACTAACCATCAGAGAGATGCAAATTAAAACCACAATGAGATACTACTTCACACCAGTCAGAATGGCCATCATAAAAAAAGCAACAAACAACAACTGTTGGAGAGGATGTGGGGAAAAACAAACCCTAGCACCCTGTTGGTAGGAATGCAGACTGATGCAGCTTCTATGGAAAACAGTATGAAATTTCCTCAGAAAACTAAAAATGGAACTGCCTTTTGACCTGGCAATTCCACTGCTGGGATTACATCCTATGAACCCTGAAACACCAATCCAAAAGAACCTATGCACCCCAATGTTCATAGCAGGACAATTTACAATAGCCAAGTGCAGGAAGCAACCTAAGTGCCCATCAGTAAATGAGTGGATCAAAACACTGTGGTACATTTACACTATAAAATACTATGCAGCAGAGGGAAATTGAAATATGGAGCTCCTGCCCTTTGTGAAAGCATGGATGCAACCAGGGAGCAATATGCTGAGTGAAATAAGCCAGACAGTAAGGAACAAATACCGTGTGATCTCACATTTAAGTGGAACCTAATCAACAAAACAAACAAACAAGTATAATATAACCAGAGACATTAAAATTAAGAACAAACTGACAGTAACTGGAAGGGAGGTGGGAGGGGATAATGGGGGGAACGTTTTTTAGGAACAACTATAAAGGACACATGGACAACATCAAGGGATGGGTTGGAAGCAAGGAAGGGAGGTGGGTTTGGCTGGGGTGGAGGGGAGTGGTGGGGGATAAATACAGACAACTGTAATTGAACAACAATAAAATAATTTTAAAAATCCTAGCAACATTATTTGTAGATAAAAACAAGGTCATTCTAAAACGTGTACAGAAAGGCAAAGTAGTGAGAATAGCTAAAGCAATTTTGAAAAAGAATAAAATAGGAAAATCAAATTATTTGACTTCAAGACTTCTAATATAGCTACAGCAATCAAAATGGTGTTGTATGGAGAGAGAGATAGACACATAGATCAAGAGAACATAAAAGAGAACCTGGTAATCGATTAACACAAATATACTCAAGTGACTTTTCACAAAAGTATAACAGCAATTCAGTGACAAAAGGTAGCCTCTTCAACAAATGTTACTTGATCAACTGGATATCTGTAAACAAACAAACAAAAAGAATGAAAACCCAAGTCTTATGCCTTCCAGAAAAATGGACTCAAAATGGATCACAGGCTTAAATGTGGAATGTAAAACTATAAAACTTTTAGAAATAGATCATAAGGAAATCTTTAGGATCTAGGGCAAGGCAAAGAGTTCTTAGACTTGACACTAAAAGCACAATCCATTTAAGGAAAAATGTGCTTAATTGGTACATTAGTTTTCTAAAGCTGCCATAACAAATTACCAGAATCTGGGGAGCTTAAAGCAACAGAAATATATTGTCCCACAATTCTAGAGGTTAGAAATCTGAAATTAAGGTGTCAGCAGGTCCATACTTCTAAAGTCTCTAGAGAAAATTTTTTCCTTGTTTCTTCCAGTTTCCTATGGTTCCCATCAATCCTTGATACTTCTTTACATTCACTGTCTTTATCTTTTTACATGGTGTTCTCCCTTGTGAGTGTCTCTGTATGTGTTTTCTCTCTCCTTAAAAAAGACCAGTTATGGATTTAGGATCTACCCTAAACCAGTATGACCTCATCTTAGTTTGATTATATCTACAAATTTCATCTGATTATGTATTATATTCACAGGAGCCAGAAGTTAGAATTTCAATATATCTTTTTTGGGAACACAGTTCAATTCACATAATTAGACTTTATCAAAATTTAAAACTTTTGCTCCATGAAAGATTCTGTTATGAGGGTTAAAGAAACAAGCTACAGAGCGGGAGGAAATATTTGCAAACCACATATTTAACAAAGGACTAGTATCTACCATATATAAATAACTCTCAAAACTAAACAATAAGAGTAAAATATTCCAACTAGAAAATGAGTAGTCATCAAGAGACATTTCACCAAAGAAGATGTACAGATGGCAAAACAAGCAGGCTGAATTTTGTTCCCCTGCCAAATTCTCATGTTGCAGTCCTATTTCCTACCACCTTGTAATGTGACTATATCTGGAGATAAGACCTTTAAAGTGGAGATAAAATTAAAATGAGGTTGTTAGTGTGGGTCCTAATCTAATCTGACTGATATCTTTATAAAGAGGGGAATTTGGACATACACATACCAGGGGGTCATGTGCTCCAAGGAAAAACCATGTGAGGACAAAGCAAGAAGGCAGCCATCTGCAAGTCAAGGAGAGAGCCAAATACTTTGATCTTAGACTTTTAGCCTCTATAACTCTGAGTAAATAAATCTGTTGTTTAAGCCATCTAGTCTCTGCTATTTGTTATGGTAGCTCTAGAAAACTAATACACCATCGTACCCAGATATTTGATCAAAGACTAGTCTAGATGTTTCTGTGAAGGTATATTTTAGGTGTGATTTATATTTAAAGCAGTGGTCTTTGAATAAAATAGATTACCATTCATAATGTGGGTGGGCTTCACCCAATCAGATGAAAGACTTAAGAGGAAAATATTGAATCCTGGCTGTATAGCTCTGTAGGTTAGAGAATTGTCCCAATAAACCAAGGTTGTAGGTTTGATCTCCTGTCATAGCACATACAAGAATCAACCAATGAATACATGAATGGGTGAAATGGCAAACTGATCTCGCTCTCTCTTTCTCAAATCAATAAATAATAAAAAATATTTAAATAAAAATTTAAAAAGAGAGTCAAAGATTGAGGTCCCCCAATGAAGACAGAATTCTGCCTTCAGATGGCCTTTGGGCTCAAGCTGCAACATCAGCTCTTGTCTAAGTCTCCAGCCTGTTGGGCTGTACCTGCAGATTTTGGACCTGTTGTACCCCACAATCATGTGAGCAAACTCTTCTTTAAGATAAATCATAAATCAGTCTCTCTCTGATTCATATATATATGAATTGACCTGAATTGATTATATATATAATCTCCATCCATCTTATGGGTTCTGTTTCTCTGGAGAAGCCTGACTAATATAGATGTTCAATGTCATTGAGCATTAGGAAAATGCAAATTAAAGATGCAGTGAAATGTCACTATATAGCTATCAGAACGGCTAAGATAAAAAAAATAGTGAGAAAATCCAATGCTGGTAAGAATGATGAGAAACTGGATTCCTCAAAAACTACTAGTGGTGTGGGAAGGGGTATAAGGAAGAAAATGGTAATAAAAAAAATGTAACAAAAATAAAGTAAAAAATAACTGTAAGGCATCTGTTAAAAATATGTGCTTTTGTTAATCTAGGGTTATTCAAGAGTATGTCAAGGGGATTTAAATATTACATTTGATAATGTAATATACACATTATATTATATATTAGAAGAGAAATGTTATTTTTTTAAACTGCTGGTAGAAATGTAAAATGTTATGGCCACAGTAAGCTGCAAGTTTCTATTAACTACCATATGACTCAACATTTGCACTCTAGGGCATTTATCTCAAAGAGATAATAACCACATCATGCAGAAACCTGTGCATGAATGTTTATAGTCATTTTTTTTTTTTTTGGTAATAGCCCAAACTGGGACTAACCCACATACCCTCCAATGGCTGACTAGTTAAACAAACTGGTACGCATATACACTGGAGCACTACTCTGCAAAAAAGGAACAAAGTATTGATAAGTGCACCAACCTGGATAAAATTTCAGGGAGTTACAATGAGTGAAAAACACTTGCAATAACAAAAGTTTATATACTATATGATTCCATTTATATAACATTCTTGAAATGCCAAATTATAGAAATGTAGAACAAATTAGTGATGCCAGGGAGACTCAGAAGATCTTGAGGGTGGAAGTGGGTGTGGCTATAAAAATGTAACAAGAGGAATCCTTGTGGGAATGGACATGTTCTCAGTCTTGAAGGGGTCAATGTCGATATCACAATTTTAACATTGTACTATAATTTTGCAAGATGCTACCTCTGTGGGAGACTGAGATCTTTATTAGTTCTTACAACTGCATTTGAAACTAAAATTGTCTCAAAAGAAAAAGTTCGAGTTAAAAAATAAGCAGTTCAATTTAAAAATGGGCAAACAATTTGAATAGACATTTCTCCAAAGAAGATGTACAAATGAACAGAAAAAATTCCAGCATTTCCCTAGCTGGATAATTCAATTAGTTACAGTATCGTCACAATATGCCAAGGTTGTGGGTTCAATCCCAGTCAGGGCACATACAAGAATCAACACATGAATGCATAAATAAGTGGAACAACAAATCAATGTTTTTCTCTCTCTCATTCTCTCTCTCCCTCAAATTAATACATAAAAAATTTTTAAAGAATGAGTATAGAGTCAAAGATGGCTGCATCCAGGCAAGTTGAGTGAAGGTTGCAGTAAGCTTTGGTGGCTGAGGAAGCCTGGAGGAAGCACCAATTTCTGGGAGGAGAGCATAAGACTCAAGATGGAAAATCATGAACCAGTTGATACTGTCAAGGAAAAACAAATATTGATATCATAAACAGAAAAATAAATCAACTTCCAGAAGCAGAAAGGAATCTACTTGAACATGGATCAACATATATTGGATTTAACGCTGCTTTGCAGCCTAATAGCAAACAGTCTTTATCAGCATGTCCTAAATGTGACACAGGCTCATTTAGCTGCTAGTTTACCAATGGCAATGATCCCATTTTTGAGAGCAGAAGTATTTCTTAAGGGTTTCATAAGTTTACCATTGAATACAGGTGATTTGAATTGTGAAACCTGCACTGTAACACGAGGTGGATTGGTGGGGCTTGTTTTCGATGGTCTATACCCTGTTTTCTTGGCTATACCTGTCAATGGTGGCCTCACTGCCAGGTATGCCTCAGCCCTGCTACCAGAGAATGGAAACATCTTAACCCACTGGATCAGAATTTCTAAGCCTATCTTTAGAAAGATGTTACTCCCTATTTTGCTCCTCACTGGATTTGCAGCATACCTTGGTTCTAAGACAATATAAACTACTTATAAAGGTTCTTCAGTTACCTGACCCTGGCCTAGAAATCCAGTGATTGTTAAACAAATGTGTACACAAACATAAAACTGTAAAAATAACTTGTCTACTAAAAAAAAAGAATGAGTATATTTTTAAAAATTCTCAGTATCATTAGCCATCAGGGAAATACATAGCAAAACTACAATGAGATACCATTTCACATCCACCAGGATGGCCATAATAAAGAAGACAGACCATAAGTAGTGCTTGGGAGGATATGGAAAAACTGGAATTTTTTCACATTGCTGGTGGGAATGCAAAATGAAACATTGGAAAGTTTGGCGGTTCTTCAAATAATAAACACAATGTTTCTACATGTAAGACCCAGAAATTTCACTCCAAGGCTTTCTGCCAAGGAGAAATAAAAATGTATGACTACACAAAAGCTTGTACACAAATGGTCATAACAGCATTTTTCGTAACAGCCCCAAAATAGAATAACCCAAATGTTTATCAACTGATGAATGGGTAAATAAAATATGATATATAAATGCAATGGGATATCATTCTACAATAAAAAGGACTGAAGTACTGATACATGTTATAACATGGATGAACCTTGAAAACATTATGCTAAGCAAAAAAAAAAAAGCCAAGAGAAGACCCTGTATTGTATGAGTCCATTTATGTGCAATATCCAGAATAGATAAGTCCATAGAGACAGAAAGTAAATTAGTGGTTGCCTAGAGCTGTGAGAGGACATTTCTCATGTATCATTCCATGTTCCAAAGTTCAGACCTCCTAACTTAAAAATATAGTGAAATCTTTTAGAAAAGTTTTCCATCAAGTTTATCAAAGCTTAGTCAAATACTTTTAAGACCAAAAAGAAGAATGCTTCATCTGCACTACATTGTCTTTATTTGAACCACATGTGCTCTCGATTACTGAGGACTTGCGTTTGGGTTAAGGCTCTGAAGTTCAGATGACTGACCCATGTGACCTATTATGTCTCTCAACTGGGTAGATGTTCTGGCACCAAAGGATATGGCTGTTGTACATGCTTTATTCATGGAAACCGACTTTTGGCTTTTTGTTGGTGGTGGTGCATTTCATTTTTTTCAGGCATTATTCACATATTGTTTAGCATGATATCTTTGGCACCTAACAGTGGCTAAAAACTCAGTAGCCCTCCCATAAATATTTGTGCACTGAATAGGGCAGGAGAGCAGAAAAGGAAGCCTGATATGCATAACTGTAAATCTCAGACTCTATTATTTCTACACCCTTGGCACACAAAAATAACAAAATAGCAGTATCTTATAGAGATCTTCATGCCAGGAGATAATATTGTTTAAAGATTTTGTTTGGGTTTTTTGTTTGTTTGTTTGTTTGTTTGCTATTAGAGGGGGGAGAGAGAGGGAGAGAAACACTGACGTGAGAGAGAAACACTGATTGGTTGCCTCTCATATATGCCCTAACTAGGGACCAAACCTGCAACCCAGGCACGTGCCCAGACCAGGAATCAACTTGTTATGCTTTGCTCTGTGGGAATGATGCCAACTGAGCCATGCTGGTCAGTCAAGAGATAAATATTGTTTCATTTTACTGGATTTTTTTTACTTATTTTTGAGTCTTGCTAATATTTTGCTATTATTACATGTGATGGCTTTAAAGTGGGGTTTGCCAGAGTGGGGTTTACCCCATTAGAGAACTATCACCATTGTCATAATTATTGCCATCAGTTGAGCACAATATTGTTCTCCTTCTGCAGGTACACTGACCATACATGTAAAAGTTACACAGAATAGCTTTCTAATAACATTACTACAAATATTTAAAATGCTTTACAAATGAGCCTTTCCAGTTATTATAAAATTTGTGAAATAATGTTACTGACTGTAATGTGGAATTTGGGGTAATTTATTTAGTGTTTTGTTAAACTTGGAAGCTTATTGGCTTTGACAGGCTTTCTCTTGTAGGTTAGACACCAACCTGCTTGATCATGGTCCACTAGTTCTGTGCCCCTGAATTCACTGAGTGTAGAGTATAAATTTATCAGAATAAAGCATAATTAAACCCAGTAAAGATGCTCAATAAATACATAAAGAACCTACCGTAATGGTGTAGTCAAGATGATTCAAAGAATTTAATCACCTAAAATATGGGGTCACATTTCTGAATGAGTCATATTATATCAGAAGTATTACTGCATTTAGGAAATGAATTAATGAATGACATAAGTAGATTTATAGTGACCTTTCATAATTTATGCACTCATCTTGTTTTGATATTACTTTGAACTTATTAATAAGATGCTTTGAAAAATAAGAGCTTCGGCTATGTACCTATATAAAAAACACACCTGCTGTGTTGAACATGTTCAAGTGAATCTTCTCTCCTACCTTATCTTTTCATTTGCTTGACAGCCACCAGGTCATTTTAAATCTTTCTACCAAAAATGAACTCCCCTTTGGTTCAGTTAAAATGTCACATAATTAACACGTGTCATGTGTTTTCCTTTGCCTGAGTGTGAAGTTGGCTCTGGCTGCAGACACTATCTGCTGCAGCTGAAATGAAGAAACATCTGAGGCTCAGTGTTGTGTGCATTCTAGGGTTACAAAGCTTTTCTAATCAAGATAGCTTCATGCTAAAAGGAAAATGAGATTGCAAGGAAGAGGAGTATGTTCTGACAAGTTGAATAAAATGAGCATATGATCAAGGCTCACTGTGGTAAAAATGTTTCAGTAATTGTTCTATACCAAGGGCAAGTCAAAAAATATAACTACATTTTCAATCCATGCTAGGTGGGGTTGTTGTTTAATTCCAAAGGTTTTTAGTGTATTACTGAAATTAGAATGTGGATTTTAGTGTTCTTGAGCTTGTTTCCTGTGGCACCATACACTTGTATATGAAGTGCCAGGAGAGCTGGTTAAAGGAGGCATGTGAATTAACAGGGCAGATGAGATTCCTGGGGCTGCTGTGGCTGGTGGTCCATAAGCCCATGTTCATTAAGGATGAAGGACCTAGAGGACTGGACATTCAGAGATCACAAAGGGAGTGATTCTCCTTAAATAAGAGTGGAGGAGTGGAGAATTTATCTCCCACAGTACCCAACCAAAAAAAAAATACCCAGACCTAATATAGGAAACAACATCATCAGCCACTGGACAATTAGCAGGCAGGACAGTGGCCTGTGGGTGATTGCCTGGAGAGTGTGCCAGCCACAGAGCATACGGGGTGCTAAGTATAGCCAGTGGCAGCGACCCCCTGAGTGAAGGAGACAGAAGGAGAAGGAGGCAGAGATGAGGGTGGCAACGAGGCTGGACTTCACAGAGCAGAGTGCCCCAGAGGAGAGATCTCCTCAGAGAACTCCAGAAACCTGTCTGCAGTGTGAGTATATGAGGAGTCTGAGGCCAGTCAAAGATCACGAGAAAATATCAGAAAAAGCAATTCCCAGGCTCACACAGGTCAGGCATGATTCATATTACACCAGACAGACTGGAAAGACTCCCAAGAAACACAATATTAAGGAAAGTACTCAAAAGGGTATTGTCTTAGTAGCAGGGACAAATTATCCCGAGAGTAAAAAATAAGTCCCAGAAAGGTCAAACTATTTCCAAGTGCCTTCACGTGTTCCAGAACAAAGGTAAAAAAAAAAAAAAAAACTAAAAAAGAAAAATAAGGCTAATAATATTTTTAAAAAACCAAAAACTTCCTACACCAAAGAACATATTTACCATGTGTATCATGCAATAAAAAATTACCAAATATGCAAAGAATCAGGAAAACAAAACTCATGATTAGTAGGAAAAAATCAGTCAACAGACACAGATCCAGATATAACACCAATGATATAATTAATAGACAAAGATATTAAAACAACTATTATAAATATATTCCCAAAGATCAGGAAGGGTTGAGATGAGAAATACACTTTGTGAGATTAACAGCATATTAGACAATGCAGAAGGAAAGATTAGTAAACTTAAACACTTAGCACTAGAAGCCATTCAAAATGAAACATAAAAAGATTGAAAAGAAAAATGAATAGAGCATCAATGAGATGTGAGACTACATAGGTGGACTAATATTTTTAAAATTCTTTATTGGTTGACTTTAAAATTTTTTATTTATTGATGAGAGAGAGAGTGAAATTGTTTTTTTATTGTTGTTGTTCTACACATTGATGCATTCACTGGTTGACTGCAGTATGTAACCTGATCTAGGATTGAACCTGCACCCTTTGCATATTAGAATAATGCTTTAACTAACTAAGCTACCTAGCCAGGGCTTGCCTAATATTTTTGCAATTTGAGTCCCAGAAGTATGGAGGAGTGAGGGAATTCATGAAAACTATAAACTCATAGCCCAAATTAATAAACAACAATAGAAAATAAAAATAACAACTAACTCCATGAAAAAACGACTCCAAGGCATATTATAATAAAATTGCTTAAAGTGAGTGACTGAAAATCTCCCCAGCATCAGGATACATTTAGAACAAAGATGAGGATGGTAGGAAATAAGTAGTCAGTGGCTCTGGAGCTCTCTGCCTAGAATGGAGGTAAGTCCTTTATTCCTCCTCCAGGGCCAGCTACTGTGAGAGACAGGAGCATATGCAGCAAACTCCTGACTGCTGAGGTTCATTTTACTGATATGGCATTTTATAGTCCTAATATTTAGGTCCTTGATGCATTTTCAGTTAATATTTACACATGGTGTGAGGTGGGATCCAATTTCATTCTTTTACATGTGGACATGCACTAGTACCAGCATCATAGCTGAAAAAAGTGGGACTCCACTGAATTGTCTTGGAACCTTTATTGTAAATCAATTAATTGTAAATGTGAGGGTTTCTTTCCAAACTTTCAATTCTATTCTATTTATCTATATGTCTATTCTTACTGGACTACCATGTTGTTTTGATTACTTTAGCTTTATTGTAATTTTTAAAATCAAGAAGTGTCATTTCTCAAAATTCACCCTTCTTTTTAAATATTATTTTGGTGGTCCTGGATCACTTC